TGCTGAACCAAAGATGGAAAGAAAAAAAACCCAGGATGTCAGGATACAAGTATCCTGGGCTTTGCATTTTAAAAACAACCAACAATAAAACCTCCACATCACCAGAAAAACACTTAAACCCACACAAGTTACGGCAACAGCAAGAAAAACTATGCTACAGAGAAAGGAAAGGACTATGGGCAAAAATACAAATAGTTTTATATTAATAGGTTTACAGGTATTGAAGATAGCACATGAAAGCAAAAACAATGCTTAAAGTCTTCTGCTTATTGTCATGAAGGGATTAATTATTTTTTTAGGTGTCAGATTAAACTAATTGCTATTACTAGTCCATGCAAAGGCGCATTAGATCAAATAGAATTAATATGTCAAGTAACAGCTAATTTAAAAGTTTAGGACAAAGATCCTGATTGTACTTTTGCCAACACACAATATACACTTAGTAACTACTAATTTGAATCTGTGATTCATGTTAAATGTGCGTTAATATTAAAAAACTCACATTAACATATTACATTGTGCTTAAATTACACAGTAATTTAAGCATGAACTACGATTCTAAAAGCATTCTTGAAAACATATAAGTATTTTTAGTGATTTTTTCACTAAGTCAACATTCATAGTAGATTTTGGATGCCGTCTAAAATACTCCACTACATACCTATAGAAAGAGGAGTAATTAGAAATCCGTTCCGTCTCTTTATTAATGTATTCTTCAATGATATAAAGCCACTCTTTATGTGCACCAATTATGTTTTCAGATGTTTGGAATATCTTAAAACCTTTGTATCTATTTTTTCCTTCAGACACCAAATATTCTTGTAAAGACTTCTACTGTCAAATCTGGATGACACAACTAAATTTCTACCTCAGCCTATAGCAGGTTTACAAACAAAAAAAAGACACAAAAAGATGAAGTGTTAGGATTTTTAAAAAGCCTATGATTGTCAGCACCTAACAAAGTGTTCAAGGTTGAAATCAAGCCACAGGAATTTCCCATGCTCTGCAACCTACCCTTAAAGAGTTTAATCATAGAATCATAGAACTATTCAGGCTGGAAAAGACCCTTGGGATCACCGAGTTCAACCATCATCTCTACTCTACAAAGTTCTCCCCTAAACCATATCCACCAACAGCACATCCAAACGACCCTTAAAACACATCCAGGGATGGTGACTCAACCACCTCCCTGGGCAGCCTATTCCCGTGTCTAACCACTCTTTCTGTGAAAAAAAAAATTCCTGAAGTCCAGCCTAAATCTCCCCTGCTGCAGCTTGAAGCCATTCCCTCTTGTTCTGTCACTAATTACCTGTGAGAACAGACCAGCATAATGTCACATCAGTTATTCCTTTAGGTGGTGAAAGAAGACCATTTAAAAAACTATTAAAACAAGCAATTTATCCAAAGGGTGAAGGTGGCCTGTAAAGATCTGACACTTAGACCTATCTCACTAAGATGCTAGCATATCCAATTTTGCCAAGAAGTCCACTTTCACAAACTGAAAGTACTTCTTCCTTTCTATCAAAAACCTGTTAATATATTACAGGAAAAAAAAATCTTCACCTGTCCTCAGATGACTCCATTGCTGAACAACTACCATACACAGGTAGATTGAGCTCAGAGTTTCTAGATGCATCGTGATCTGTCATGAGTGATTTACTCATATCTGAGTTTTCAGGTCTCGCTGTACTATGGTACCCGTAGCTGCTTCTTATTTCTGATGCAGGCTGCCCTTTCTGGTCAGTGGCTGCATTTGCTGAAGAAAGTTCATTAGAAGGAACCCCAGCTTCCTTTTCATGCTTCATCAACTGCATTGCAGCACTCTCTTGTTCCTCCATCTGCTCTGCACCTGCAGAAAGCCTGGCTGGTTCTGTCATCCACCTTTGAAGATTATCCTGGCTTTGAAAAATGGAGAAAGACATGAAGAGTATCTCTCAGAACAACTAAAGCACATGCTTTAAGAAAAAACACAGTATTTTGATAACTGTATTAAATTCTGAGGTTTCAATGCATACTTAAAATCTTCAAAAGCAGGAACAAAATCTAGAACAGTTTGATAAGAGGACACAGCACCCAAGCTATTTTCAAACTCACCTCCTTGGCAAGCCGGTTTAATCTCCTACTGGCTAATCTATACCAGGTTCCTCAAACACAACCCACACTAGAACTGAACATCTGCACTCCTCAAGGGACATTATTAATGAAAAACCTGAAGATTAACAGACATCCCAATGGAACAACCTTCGGTCTTGCAGAGGAGGAGTTTTACAAACTCACCTGGTGCCCTGTACAACTTCCCATGGCACCGGGATTATTGCCTAGTGCAAAAAAAAAAAAAAAAATCTAATTTTTGTTTCTTCCAATATGATTTCCAAGTGATTAAGAAAGGACTTTATACAACCCACTCTAGCAAGCCCTTCAAAAGCTTGGGATGTGCTGGTACGGCAGATCTCCCGGGGTATTTACCCTGACCGAGAACCCTCCCCAAGAGTAAGGGTTTGGCTAAAGTCACCAGACCCCGGCCAGGCCCCACCGCTGCCACCCGGGCCGATCCCCCGGCACCGACCCCGACCCCGCACCCGCCCCTCAGGCCGGCGCGCACGGCCCGCCCAAGACCTCCCTCTTGCTGTGCTACACAGGTAGCTTATCTTCTTCACAGGCTAGGAGGACAACTAAGGAATCACAGAATTTCTGGAGTTGCAAGGGACCTTAAAAGATCATCAAGTTCCAACTCCCCTGCATGGGCAGGGACACCTTCCACTAGAACAGGCTGCTCAGAGCCCCACCCAACCTGCTCTTGAACACCTCCCAGGGATGGAGCCCCCACAACATCTCTGGGCAGCCTGTTCCAGCGTCTCACCACCCTTATACTGAAGAATTTATGCCTGATCTCTAACCTAAATCTCTCTTCTTTCAGCTTAAAACCATTACCCCTCATCCTCTCGCTGCAAGCCCCTATAAAAAGACCTTCCCCAGCTTTCCTCTAGGCCCCTTCAGGTACTGGAAGGCCACTTTGAGGTCCCCCCAGAGCCTTCTCTTTTTCAGACTGAACAACCCCGACTCCCTCAGCCTGTCCTCATAAGAGAGGTGCTCCAGCCCTCGGATCATTTTCATGGCCCTTCTCTGGACACGTTCCAACAGGTCCACATCTTTCTTGTGCTGGGGACACTAGAGCTGGACACAGTATCATAGAATCATGGAATCCTAGGGGTTGGAAGGGACCTTGAAAGATCATCTAGTCCAACCCCCCCCTGCCAGAGCAGGGTCACCCAGAGTACATCACACAAGAACGCATCCAGGTGGGTTTTGAATGTCTCCAGTGAAGGAGACTCCACAGCCTCCCTGGGCAGCCTGTTCCAGTGCTCTGTCACTCTCACAGTAAACAAGTTTTTTCGGATACTCACACTGAACCTCCTATGCTCCAATTTACACCCATTCCCCCTTGTCCTATCACTGGTCACCACTGGGAAAAGCCTAACTCCGTCCCCCTGACACTCACCCCTTACATATTTGTAAACATTGATGAGGTCACCCCTCAGTCTCCTTTTCTCCAAGCTAAAGAGACCCAGCTCCCTCAGCCTTTCCTCATCAGGGAGATGTTCCACTCCCTTAATCATCTTAGTAGCTCTGCGCTGGACTCTTTCGAGCAGTTCCCTGTCCTTCTTGAACTGAGGGGCCCAGAACTGGACACAATACTCCAGATGTGGCCTCACCAATGCAGAATAGAGGGGGAGGAGAACCTCTCTTGACCTACTAACCACACCCTTTCTAATGCACCCCAGGATGCCATTGGCCTTCTTGGCCACAAGGGCACATTGCTGGCTCATGGTCATCCTCCTGTCTACCAGGACCCCCAGGTCTCTTTCACCTACACTGCTCTCCAGCAGGTCAGCCCCCGACCTGTACTGGTACATGGTGTTGTTCTTCCCCAAATTCAAGACTCTACACTTGCCCTTGTTGAACTTTCATATAGTGAAAATCCCCAGGCTTGGAGACCACAATGAGGTGTCTTCAGTAGAAAGAAGCCAGGGGTGAACTAGAGCTGGTGTTCAGGGGTCAGATGCTGCGTGTTACGGAGTCACGGAACGTTCTGCACCCCTGGGTCACCTCCCCCTTCATGAACCAGGGTGCTCAGAGCCCTGTCCCACCTGGGCGCACACACCTGCAGGGAGGAGGCATCCACAGCTTCCCTGGGCAAGGCAGGACTTGATGAGGAAGCCCAATGCTGTGAAGATGCATGTATGTGCGGCAGCACTGGTATGGCAGTCTCGTCCGGGAGCAAAAAGCACATCATCACCACCTTATATCAGCTCCAGACAGGATAGAAACCTACTAGAGTGTAAATGATAGACCTTTCAAAGGTACACGTTACTCAAGGGTTAAGCATACCCAATACTATTAAAAGTGCGATACTGAGAATAGCAAAACGTAAGAAAGCAGTGTTGTGGCAGAAAAAAAGTCAGCTGAAGCCTGAGCCTTTTGGAGGGTGCTCACCTTGAAATTGAGCCTGAAAATGGAAAAGTGTTTGTGTCTTCTTTCTGGAATTTACTTCATAAAAATGCACTTTCCCTTAGTGATGCTAAGACTGGGGGAAAATAACCACAATGATGCTGACCCTAAAGGAATTTTAATTAACACTTTTTTAAAAAAATCTGTTTAAAAAATAAATAAATCTGATAACAGGAATAGATACATTTCTATGCATTTGATAAAACTACTTATTAAAGGAAGTTGCAGTATGCTGTTACTGCTGTCCCCTAATTGGAAAAAATACATAGAATGACTTTTTTTTTTTCAGAGTGCTCTCAGGGAATCAACAGTCTCATCAATTAGCATGTCAGAGTGACAGTGATACTTCTGACTGGCTGTTGCCCAGACCAAGAACACTCTTAGTGGCTCAATTAATTAACTAAACCTCCATGAACAATTTGCATGTTTCACGCTTTTTTTTCTTTTCCAATGTTCACATTAAAATAAAGGGGAGAAAACAAATAATGATAATAAATGCAAAACTCCAGTAGCCGTATGAGACAAAAATATCAGAAACATACACATGTGGTTTGCCCCATCTTCTCCAGCCTTACTATCAAATATTTATATCCTTTATTGATTGCATGAACATTCAGGTTTTTTTCTTACAGAGAATGGTTTGGAATTAGAGTCAGTGCTCATGATCTTGTATTGAATCTGCCAAAGATTTGTATTATGCTATAAAGAAGAAAACAATTATGTCTTACTTTTATAATGTAATGGGAAAAAGTAGCATTTTGCATGTGTAGAGCAGCATGATCCCTGATGCTGCTAAAACTTGCTTTCTTTTAGGAACAAGTTTAATGAATTAATTGCTTTCACTAGACTTCTGACCTGAACCCAGCTGTGCAACACCCCATGAGCTGGATTACCTGATGAAGGGGGGAGTACTATGGCTCTGAGTTATGCAGCAACTCCTGAGCCTATACTATGGCTCTGAGTTATGCAGCAACTCCTGGCCTGCAACACCAGGCTTTTGTTTCAGGGAAACATTCCTACTAGCAGTGTTAATCACAGGTTTGAGCTGAAGATCATGCAGTTGGTGGCAGGGCCACCAGCTTCTCCTTTGAAATTCTGTGACCTCCTCTTTAGTAAGGCTGACCATGAATCCACCTGACATGAATCCACCTGGGAGCAATAAGGTGAAAGACCAACAGTGAGATGCAAAACCACCGTCTGGAGTTGCTATGACAAGTGATCAGGACTGAGTCAGGCCTAGGAGTCTAACATGCCTGTATCCATCACACTTGCTAAGTTATGTGATAAAAGCTCACCCATGCGCTACAAAGGAGCACAGGGAGACTGCCCTCATCACCTGTACTGATGGCAAAGATGCAAGCCTGGCTTCAAATGTAATGAGAGGGTGTCTTTTGTAGCCAGACGTACTTTGTGACAAAATGTGCCCTTAAGGTCAAGACATCAAGAGAAGCAGCCCTCAGTTGGGTTCCTGAAATAATAAAACATCCCAAAGAACTCTCAGAGTATGCAAGCTCCACTGTAAAAATGGTATTTTAGTACCAAAAGACAAGAAACTGAGTGGCTTTTATTACACATCTCAACTTCATCAGTCCCCTTCACTGTTTTCTAAAAGAAGGAAAAAGTGGCATTTTACTCAAATGAATCAACAGATCAGCCTCAAGGGTTCTTTTCAGCTCATTAATCAAATTAAATAAATCCATTAGTTTAATCTGAAACAAATCCCTCTCAGCTGATGTTCATAAGTCTACCTAATACGCAAGCTTTTGCAATTACTTATATGTGGATGCCCTTGCAAATACCAGCTTGAAACAAGGGATATATTTATTCCTGTTCTGCAACTGCTGTCCAGCTGACCACCTCCTCAGACTCCAGCTTGTTAATGCTAGCTCCTGTTTTCTGTGTTTGGTTCTTGCTCCCTGACAAGACACAGCTCTTTTATTGCTGGCTTGACTTTGCCCCACCCTTCCTCAGCAAGGAAGACCAGGCCTTGGGGTTCTTGTCCATTACCCCTCTGCTAACTGTAGGGCTAGAACTGGCTTTGTGGATGCTACAAGCCTGTTTCTTGTCAACATGCAGCTGTGAACGTAGACAGGCTTACACCAAGAAATACACCGTAAGCCTCAGCCACCGCATGAATTCTTTACTGTGGTACTGTTCTTAAACCTTCTCAATACATAGAGAACATTTTCAGATAAAAAATAATCTCTGTATAGAAGGACTGAACTTATCCGTAAAATATGCTGAACTAAACCAGAGGTCCCTAAAATAGAGATCTTTAGGGGGTTTTAACAATAAGATTAAGTCTCTGGGCAGCAGCTCACTTTCTTAACAAAAAAAAAAAAAAGATATGAGGATTATTACAGAAACA